TGGCCCGCTCGCCTGGAGCCTGCAGCCTGCAGCTGGGAGGGCCGACGCAGAGATGGCGAGGCCAGAGAAGGGCCTGTGCAGGCCGCCAGAGCCCAGGGCCTGCTGGGGCTTCCCCAGGCCGCCAGGTCCTCGCCAGCACACGCCGAGCACCTCGCTGGGGTCCTTGCCCGTGCCCGAGCGCCTCGCGGGGACCGGGCCTGGGTCCTCGACCACGCCCAAGCGCCTCGCGGGGACCAGGCTGTGAGGTCTCCACCGGCCAATTAGCAAGCACAGATGGCTCCCCGCCGTCCACTGCCACCCGGCCACAGGGGAGGGTGCTGGCCCAGACGCCCATGCGGGCTTGTGACCCGCGGTGTGAGCTGGGAGGCTGGGGGCATGCGGACAGCAGGGACAGCGGTGTGAAGGGCAGGGTGTGCCTGGAGCAGGGAGCCAAGGCACGGGCAGGGGAGGGTGTGTCCGAGCACCCAGCACTGGAGCTCAGTGCGGGGCAGCAGGTCTGACCCACACCCTGGGGTGTCCGGGGGGCACAGCCTCCGTGTCTGAGGGCCGCAGCAGGGAGCAGGGAAGGGGCGGGGATGCAGGGGGCATGCTCACCCAGGTCCTGCCGGCTCAGTGTGGGTGCCTGTGCATCATCTCCGGGACGGGGGAACTGAGGCAGAGGGTGGGGCCTGCAGGGCACCCCCTCCACCCTCCTCCCTGCGGGGCCCAGCGGTTGCTGGATGGCTGGTGCCATCTGTGGGCTGATCTGGGCAAGAGTGGCATGACTTTTCGAAAGCCCGGGGTGGCCTGTCATCCAGTGGCAGGAGCTGAGGGTGCCATGGGCCCGGGATACCCTGCCTGGCCAGCCATCGCAGCCCCAGCAATGGCCGAGCACAGCCTCGCCCGGCCCAGCCATCGCAGCCCCAGCAATGGCTGAGCCCAGCCTGTCCCCATCCCAGTCTGTCCCCAGCCTGTCCCCAACCTGTCCCAGCCCAGCCTGTCCCTGTCCCAGTCTGTCCCCAGCCTGTCCTTGCCCCAGCCTGTCCCCAGCCCAGCCTGACCGTATCTGAGCCTGTACCTGTTTGAACTCCGACCGACCCACCCTGTCTGCCCCCGAGGCGCCCACCTCCCTGAGCCTGCCCCAGGGTGCCCGGAGTCTGCAGTGCCCTCTGCACACACCCCAGCTCTCCTGACAGCCGTGAGGACTGCAGGGGGGACCTGAGGCCCTGGGGGGGAGGGCGCCAGGCTGGATCCCGCCCTCGGGTCCCTGCCTGGAATTCTGTCCAAGCCTCAGCCCTGTTCTGGGATCTCCCACCCATCTGCAGTGACGGGTGGGGAAACGGAGGTGCCCAGAGCCCCAGCCCTGCCTGGTCCAGTCTGGGGCGGTGGGGGGGCAGCCAGTGCCATCTGATCACCGCAGATCACCCCACGACCAATTAGCGCACCCGGCATGGGGGCCGCGCTCCCTCCCGCTGCCACGCTGGGCGGGACAGCAGCCGGTGCCCCTGCCGCCCGCCTTGCTGGGCCTCAGTTTCCCGCCCTCCCCAGCCTGCTGCTCCGACCTTTCAAGTGCTAATCAGCGCCTCTCAGGGCTCCCTGGTGCCCCTCTCGGTCGGCCGCCTTTCCGTGACAGGGACCCGGGGGACCACGCCCGACAGATCTAAGGACTGCTCCGCTGTAGCCCGAGGCAGTCCTCCCTGGGCTGACCTCCATCCTCAGGCAGGCAGACGCGTCGGGGCCTCCCTGGAGGAAGGGGGACGGCCCTGTGAGCCTGGCGGGGGGCAGCTACCGGATTCTGGGTCTCTGCAGAGGGTGGCTTGGCTTTAGGGTCGCAGGACAGGAGGGGCTGGAGTGCCGACGGCACATGGGGGCAGGTGTAACCCTGGAGAGTTGAAGGGGGGTTATGGCTTTCACTGCTGCAACTCCTGCCCGTCAGGGAAACAGGCTGCAGGGGGCAGAGCTGCTGCAGAGGGGGCAGGGACAGCCAGCCCACTGCCTGCACTTTCTGGGCAGGTGTATAGGCAGAAAGCAAACCGGGAGCTGCATCATGGGTAGGGTAGGGGGCTGCCTGGAGGAGGCGGCCTGGAAGTTAGGGATTCCTCTTGGAGGGAACAGCTTGTGCGGAGAACAGGGTCGGGACCCTCAGCCAGCTTCCTTAGAGGGGTCTAGGCGGCAACGTGCCCTTCTGCGCGCCCCTCTTTCCGCCTGCTCATTTGCAGGTAGTTACCCAGAATGCGCTGGCGGCCCCTCCCCTCCACGGCCACCCGCGGACAAGTGGGCTCCGACACAGCCCCTGGGTGGGGACGTGATGCCACTGGGGCCTCTGGGCTCTGACCCTGGAGCCCTATGCGGGCAACCGTCCCGCCCCATTCTCTGGTCCCGCTGCCTCCACTCCTGCCCAGACCACTGCGCCCCCAGGCCGCTTGTCCCTCCCTACCTCCTGGCCTCTGCCTGCTGCCGGCCCCGCCCCCACCTGCCGGCCTC